GCGCTTGCTACTGTAGAAAGATACTCCTTTGAAGAGGTATGATAGAGTCCCTTTCTTTCATAAATGTAGATTGCATCAACTTTGTGTAAGATGCTCTAGAGGTAGCCTGTTTCCTTTCTTTAAAAAAAAAAAAGTTGGGAATTCCATTTCCTTTTCACTACTGGCTGGTAATCTGAGTGAAACAAAGCTTCAGTGACCTCAGGGTCTGTCTGTTCTAACCGGTCTGTAGAATCTTGCTACTTGACTTAGTGGAGAGTTTACAAAGACTGTATGCATCCTTTTGGGCAACCGAAAGCTAACCAGTACTGATGATGCATTGATAGACTGTAGTTCGGTAAATACTTGTTAGGGTTGAGGTAGGGGGATAGATTTCCCCTCTACAATAGAATTATCAATAATCTGACTAGAGAGAAAAAACTCCCTGAAAAAGTAAGAGTTGCTCTTTGTTGTAAAAGTTGAGGATCTTTCTTCTGCATCGAAATGTAGTGTTGTTTCAACAAGACTAGAAAAATCACTTCGAACAATTAAGTTTATGAATAAGATAGGAAATTATTCTGTGTTTCTATGATGCTCTTTGGAACAGTAGCTAGTATTAAAAGCAGAACATAATCCAGTGCTCTATTCTGTTTTGCGTTTGGAATTGAATCTAGTTTTCCTTATTTCCCACCTCAAACTGTGTACCGTTCTCTACTTTGGAGACAGACTGCGTCTTGCAGTAACTGAAGAAAGGGAGGGAGGGTTGTTGTATGCCGACGGTATGTGATCTGTTCTTTAGCGACTAGCGTGATTTGGACCACTTCTGAAAGTGTCGTCATTTCAGTGTTGATGGTCCTCTTGACACTGTACACATACTATCTTTGAGACTGTGAAGGGTATCCATAGTGTTCTTTGTATATATGCTTCAGTCTTTAAGCTTTAAAAGTTACTTTTATCAGAATCAGGGCTTACTGTAAACCTACTTGTTGATCTTTTCACCTTCTCATTAGGAAAAGTGGGTTGAAGTTGCATCAATGAAGATACCAAGAGCTGGTGTCTGTGTTGTGGCTGTGAATGGATTTCTTTATGCTTCAGGAGGCCGAGCTCCCAGTCATGATTTTGCTGCTCCAGTAACCTCTGACTCTGTTGAAGTTTATAACCCTCATATGGACAGTTGGACTGAAATTGCCAACATGATCACCAGCCGCTGCGAAGGAGGTGTAGCTGTGCTGTAAAACACAAAGCAGAGAACTCATTCAAGGAATGAGTAGATCTGTCTCCTCAGGTGTCTGGTATCATTGGCCAGAAACCTCTACTAACACAGGAGCTTCAGTAGAGACAGTGGAAAATTAGATCAGAGGGCTTTTCCTGAGCAAAAGGAAATATTAAAACTCTTGCCCTTCAAAGTAAATTGACTTATCCAATATCTGTCTCAGGAAGTATTCTGTTAAGAGTAGGAATACCTCTGGATTAAGCTCACTGAAATAAATGGCGAATTTGCCCTGTAAAAATCTGAAGAAATCATTCCAGCACATTAGAGACATTAATCAGGTTGTTAACTCTCTCAGGTGCACCAAAGCTAGCATCTTTAGCTGGCTTCACAGTCTGGAAAGAGGCTACTACAGACAGCTAGAAGTTATCTGTAGATAAGAGCAGATGGGCTACTTGGCTAACACTAGTTGTCCTTTTCTGGTGGAAAACAAGGAAGAGAAGACAACATATGGGGAAGACTTGGTACCTCTACTTACGACCTTGATGCATACTCTTTGCTGCTGCTGGACATGATGGGCATTACATATGAATTGGATATTTACTTTCTGGCCACTCCTCTAACTTGGATGGTAAGTGGCTGAGAATTTCCTGTTCTGGAAGGTTATTCTCACAGTTCTAATAATGCCATTCCACTTCAGCACAGGCTTGTCTTTTTGGCAGCATCAGTGATGAGAGTAGACCTCTTTTGTGTGTAAGCTCTGATGAATTTTAAATGGAAATGCTGTTCATAAGATTAGCTGTTCTGTTTAGGACTGCTCTTAGTATAAAAATATAGGGAAAGCCTTTTCCCCTGTGTTTATTTCCTTAGTTAAGTGTGTTTTTACCCTGTGTTACACATGCTGCGACATGGCACTGGAATACGTGCTCTCCTACAAGGTACGCACGTTCATCCTTACTGAACTTGTATCCTGCCTTTTCCAAATTTTGGCGGACGGAGCGTTTTGCAATAGAATTAGCTGCGTTCAGCATTAAAGTGATGATTTTAGTGTGTTTTGTCTTAAGGAGTTTGTATTTAGCTTGGATACGCTTAGTAGAATGATACTACTAGGGAGTTTGGAGTTATTTCTAGATCTGTTTGATTGACGTACTTGAAGTTGCTTTTTGCACAGCGTGATTACATTTTCTGCACAGCTGTGGATGATTCGGATGGCGTCTAAAATAAGGCTGCTTGAACTTTGATAAGACAGTGTTATTGCAGAACACAAAACCACAACTGGAATGTCACAAAACAGGAAGCCTGCACTGTGTAGACAAAAGAGCGTTTGTGCTGTCTAGGTCAATATCCTGTGTGTAACACATGAATAAAAGCCTCCGAGGTGAGTGGTGCAGGTACCTCATGGATCTCGGTCTTACGTTCTAACATATGGCTGGGAGATGGCCAGGCTAAAACATGCTGACGATAGAGCACTTGTTTCTCTGATCATTCTGTAATCTTGTGTGTGCTTTTACTTCAAAAGGATTTCTTAAGTGTGTGAACTAATGTTTGTTCTGTTTTTTTTTTTCTCCCAAGTTTAAGCTTGTTTTAAACAATTTTTCATAATAAAATACATTTTCAGAACTGACTGTGGAATGTTCTTGAATGGAGTGCTTTCCTATCATAACAAGTGGTATCACTGCTACTTTCATGTAATAGGTTGAGTTATGGGTTGTGGTTTTTTGTTTTTTTCTACTTGAAATTCTGTTTCCCAGTAGGACAATAGGAAAAGAATGGTTATAAATGTTGACTATTTGAAAGGTGCAAGTAACACACTTCTGTAGTAAAATACTTATGTATTGCTCTTCTCAGTGTAAAATCACTCGGCCTTCTTGGAAGTCTGGCTGCCTTGCCAGCTCTCTGCAGCCCTCTTTGGGAATCAGATGATACGTAGTATTTCTTAGACTTTCTTCTTCACGTTTCAGGATCTCTCATGAACCATTTAAGAAACATTACATTAGCTTTATTTTATTAGTTTGGGAACTGTGAGTTCAATTCTGATCCCTACCTGTAAACTTTCTGGTTTAGTGGAGCTTGAGGGAGTCTGTTGTATGGAGTTACCTTCTCCAGTTTTTGTTAATTGATTCTATCATGTTTGAATAAGGCTTTGAAGTCAATTGATCATGGTCTGATACTCAACATCACTTTTCCTGAATCAAACCAAAGGCAGTGCTCTTCTCTGGACTCACCTTAAAAAAAAACCACCATGTCTAAAGAAGAAAGAATAAAACAACTGTTTTCATTTACAAACTCAATTTTACTTCCTTTATATTCAGAGAGCACTGACATATATCATCGTTTCAGAGGTATGATGCTGTTAATGCATAAAGGTTAACAAGTTACAAAAGTTAGAGGCTCATGTACATAGTTGCTGTTTCAGCAATATCGTACAAGATGACAGCTCTATCTTCAGGATAGGCAGGCTTCTTGGAGATGGTTCTTTGCAGAATGAACAGATAAATTTTAAGTGACAGCTTGTGCTTTATTCTGTATAGAACAACAACAAAGTACAGTGCTTTAAGAGAGCTATGAGAATTATCTAAATTGGTCCGTAAGAATGTGTGTGGATGTCACTTTTTCAGCTTTCTTCTTGCAAGTTACACTGTACTTAAAGAATACATAAGATAAAAAGCCTACAGTCAATATGCCCACCTACACTTTCATAGGTTTCTTGAGGTAGGTGAGGCTAGAAAAGAAAATCTATCAGAGTTAACATTGTGTCTTCTTCCCCTAAATGATGCATTAGGAAGACTTAAGTACAAAGAGAATATGCTCCTCCACTGTTTTCAGTAACTGGCCCATCATGGAGGGTCTGCAGGGTACAAGTCCATTTGTACCTGCCCTGGGTGCTCAAATAAAGAGTTTTGAGGAGGAAGAAGACAGAAACTACTTTCAATCCCATCATCTGATTCCCCTAGTGCCAGCAATCGAGTCCATGTGTCATATCATCGTTTGATAGTACTTTAATTTAGGAGTATGATGATCTCTATGGCAATGTGGCATGCAGCTTCCTTGGCCAGGGAGCCTTTAGTCCAAACAAAACTTAGGAACAGATGGCCCAGGTATGTTTATTTAAGTAAGCCTGAGTAGAAAGCTAACCTTCCCTCTCTTGCAGAGCCTTGTCGAGGATACAAAGTTTCCCTTTCTAGCTTTCCCCACTCCATCACAACAGCTGGATGACATATATTAGGTGAGTGCTGACCTTTGTTTGCCACTGCAAACAAACTTGCCTACCTGTTCTTACCTGACTAGCTCTTAATCAGACAGCACTCTCAGCATCTTCTCAGTTGAAAGAGTTTTATCTTTTTTGCATTGCTGCAACATAGGAATTGAACATGTATGTGCTTTTACAGAACCCTCTGCTGTTTCTTTAAACACTAAACTAGAATAACTGCTTTCACCTTGTCGCTGTTTATGACGATGCAGTTCTTCCCACCACAGAACATTATCACGCATTACAGTTAAACCAGATACTTTAATAATTCAGCATAGAGCAATCCATACTCATGTCATATGAATTTAAAACGGAGATTCAAATGACAGTAAGATCTCAAGAGTGATGCATTCTTCTGCAGATAAGGACAGACTCATACCTGCCTTGGAAGTCATCGGTGTTTACAATCCTTCCCTATTGAACTTGCCAAGTTGTTTACTGTGAGAATAAGCACCTTGATCACTGTCATCTTACAGCTTCTACGCACAAATAGGTCTTTATTTCCCCTGGAACTCAATACAAATACCTTATTGACAGATAAAAAGCTTTTTCCTCTTGATGTTATTATTTTGTGTTCTGCCATTTATTTCTGCTGTTACTTAGTGGCTCCTCCAAAAGAGCCTTCAACAGTGCAGTAGCTAACAGTGATAATACCATCACCACTGTTCCAGCTACCCTCAGTACTTTAAACCACCTAGGATACGTAGGGAGAAGAGAAACGTCATAATGTAGTGCTACCCCTAAGGCCATTACAAGCATTATTGCACTATTAGTGATATCTTTAAAAAGTAAAGCTTGCCAGGCAAGTAGAGGAGGAACTGTACTGTTAGCCAGGTTCAGCCAGTCTGGCTTGGCTGGGCTGTTTTCTGGGAGAGCAAACCCCCACCTCATTCCTCCTAGGAAAGAGACTGTTACAGCACCATACATAATCTGAGCAAACGCCAGCTCTGGGTAGTAGGTCCCTTGGATGGCCATTGACAGTGGCACAGAAACAAATGGAATTAGCCCTGCAAGGTTTAAGTAAAGGGCTGGCTTTGGAGAATCCTTTAGTGATTTCATGCCCGAGTCTTTGGTCTCAGATTCTTTGGGGGTTTTCTTCTTGAAGAAGGGGAGAGAGGTATGAAAAGCCTGGAGCTTGTTTGCATATACTGATGCTGGGCTGAGGCTTGGAGGTCTTGAGAGAAGACACGCACCTCTCTGCAGACAGAGGCCAAGAGAAGAGCAATTTGTCTTATTCTTTCCATACAGTAGTAGTCTGGAACCAGTTAACTTCTGGAGCTGCAATTATAAAACTTGTTCTGAACACGTTACAATGTAGACTACGGATCTACAGTTACCTCAACTACCTATGAAATATTGTAGCAAGTAGTTTTCCAAGTCAGGTCACATCACAGCTGCCCTTCCTCTCGGTTTTCAGGTGGTTTTAACTTAATTAATCTACCTGATGCAGCTTTCACAAGCTAGCTGATGAAGAGCAACTATGCTCTTCATAGTGAGGAAGCAAACCTTACTACTACAGAAGGTTTGTATATCCACCTATCCTTCCACCCACGCATGTATTCTTTAAGCATTTTTAAGTTAAGATATATCAGTCCTTTTCAGAGTAGAATATAAAATGATTACAGAAGTAGGTCACTCCAGAAACTAGGTACTATTCCCTCACCACTCTACCAAAAAGAGAGAGAGAAAAAAAAGACGTTTAGACAATAAAATTTTATTTTATAAAACAAATATCTTAGCTTTGGCTAAAAGCTGCTGTAGAAACTAGGAATTCTCTCAGAAAAGCGGAGTGATAAACGTGTGGCTACTCCAACTTCTAAGTCACCTTTTTTATTTTTTCCCCAATGCTCCAGTCATATCTTTTGCTGTTTTATTTTTAAAGAAACACCAACAGCCAAGAAGGCTTCAGAAACTTACTTTGAAAGGTGTGTAGAAGCAGCATCGTTGTGTGAGAGGAAACATACTTGCTGTATCAAGGCTCTAAAACAGAAAAATTCAGGAGAAGGTCTGAAACTGACGAATAGCTAAGTTTGTCCTATGTCCAATGTTAAGTCACAGTCTAGATTTATGCGAGACTCTTACAAACATACATTTAAAGGCAAATGTTTTATGTATTCCATCCTTACGTACTCACTACAGCATATTTTGTTTCAGGTAGCTGTATGAAGTTCTAAAATCGTAATAACTGTCACAAGAACAGTTTCTACTTAAAGAACCGAGTATCAGGAAATAGGTGATAGCTTCCCTTTTACGGATCATCTCCTTCTCATGGGCTACACGGCTGCACGCAGCTGATAAATGACCAGTCCCTTACACGTGGAAGAAACGATCCTTAACTACAAAGGAGTGAAACTTTACCACACCCCGAGCTGCAGGTGAGGTACCTGCAGGGGGGACAAAACTAACCAGGAAAGGCGAGCAGCGCACTGGTGGGCTTGACTCCTCAGTTCACGGTCCTGCTACTGGGGGAAGGGGGGTTGATCCCCGCACCCAAAGCCCCAGCCCGGAGGGAAAGGGGAGAGGAGCAGGTCCCACTGGGCCGAGGCACTCACCCCAGGCTGGAACGGAGGAGCCGCGCTGCCGACCGGGGAACGCCGGG